CAAATTCAATTATATGTTAGCTGGTATTATATTAATGATAGTGTCATTAGTGTGTGGTTTACTCTTTGTTTTTGGATATCCACAATTCCATTTTACTACATTAAAAGTTATTCATGGATTCATTTTAGGAATGGTTCCAGCTTTATTTTTAAGAAGGATATATGACATAGGTATGAGTAAATTTGATCAATATATATTCTTTACAAGTCTTTTAGGAGGTCTTTCTTTCATATCGAATTTAGCAAGTCAATTCAATACATTTATTCTTTCTGGAACTCGAATCACAACAACTGTAACTTTTGACATTATTGTTAATATTATTCTTTGTTTTATTTATGGATTTGGACAATACACTGATTCATACATTAAAGAAGAAGAATATACATCATTTTATGTAGCAGAATGGCTTTCAATAATTATGTTTTTCTTTGCACTATCTCAACGTAAACAAGGAAGTATTAAGATATTGTGTTATCATTTTCTTCTTATTATTTTAAGTTCTTGTATTAAATTATTCTCATTCCATGTAATATCCTTATTACTACTACCAATTGTCTTATACTTAATTACACATTCTATAAACATTTCAATTAGTTCAATATGCGCATTCGTTTATCATTTAATAAGACCATATCCAACTTCATTATTAGGAATTATCTTACCAGACACTATTTATTTGTTAACACTTATTTCATTGGTTATAGGTTATAAACAACGGTTATCAGTTATTCACTATTTATATTCATTGATCCCATTAGCAACAGTTTTACTACCATACTCTTCATCAACAATATTATTATTGTTTATTGGTTTTGTTTATGTTTTTAAAGAGTATGAATTTTCAGAGAGTATTACCACTTTCTTCTTGTTTATTGGAATTCATTTCTTCTTCTTAAGTGGACATGCATTCCAATTTAGTGATATTCAATTTAATGCTGGATTTATTGGAATACCATTCTATTCATTCTTTGGAAATGGATTTTTGGTCATTTTGAATACATTCTTCTTCCCTGGTATTGTTGTATTAGCTATTGCAGGAATTACACAATCAAAAGTTAATGGAACACTTCTTTATACCAGAAGCTCAATATTGGTTATGTTATTCTTTAGTTATCAACTCCTTTCTATTATGATTTTTACTTACTTTGTATCTGGACATTTAGAAATCTTCAGAATTTTTACACCAAAAGTATGTTTTGATGCAGCAATTACAGTTGTAGTGGATGTCATTGTTTTTGTTGTTTATTTCATTCTAAGAGAAGCAAAAAGCAAACATTAATCCTGAAAAAACAAAGAATATTAATTTCGTTATTCTTTTAATTTTTGTTTTTCTTTTTGTTATTATTTGTAGTTCTTTAGGAATATTTAGTAATACATCAAAATATAACCTATCTTTTTAAACCTATAGGATTTATATCTGTTGTTACAAAGTTTAAGAAAAAGACAAAAAAGAGATAAGTACGAATATTAAATAATAAAGTCTACAGTGAAATCAGCAATAATATTGTTTATAAGACCTAACAAGATTCTTTACATAAGGGTAAATACAATCAAGAGATTGGTCTCCTGATAATAACTGTTCAACCTGACTAATTAAGTCATCAATCTCATATGAAGTAACTTCTCTTGGAGAATTTGGACAAACTCCAGTGACATCAGATTCTTGAGATAGTTCATAACAACTCTGAAGAATTAATAAAACTATTTGTTTATTAATTGCTTGTCTTTGATTAACTCTTTTTTCTTCTAAGCTAAATATTTTAACTGGTTTTCTTGAACCAACAGAGCAGTGATTTTCTTTTTTGCATTGAGTAGTATAATTGCACCTCATAGTGTGTTTTGGTTTATCAATTTTCAAGATCTAATATATAAGTTAATAAGTCTTTGATCTGTTTCGTCATCCTCAAAACCATTTTTTGACTAGTTCTTTACTTCTCTGAAATTAAATATTTTTTATTAATTTCATTTCATATTTATTCCAATAACTATAACTTTTGTTAGTTTCCTTTTTTATAAATTTAGATTTTTTGTTTTTTTTTGATAACTTCAAGATGAATGGTATAATCTGATTTGCATAAGATCGAGATGAGATTTTGTTTTTTATATAGTAAAATTTATTAAAAAATAACTCCTCTTATAATTTACTCAAATAAAAAAAAGTAACTATAAACTATAATAAAAAAATAATAAATTAATGATATTTACTTGAGTATTTAATTTTTCATAGTCTTGGAGAGATTATTGTTACTTTCTTCATTATCACTTTCTGTATAACAAGAATTATGTGTTGGTATATTAGATTTGAGATTAAATAATCAAAATTATATTATTATATAAGTAATACACATATCTTTTATTTGCATTATACTTATTATTGTTATTGTGATAATGTCAACGTTTAATTCTCTTTACTTTTTGTGTAAATAATACAAGAATAAATCAATTATTTTTCTCTCTAATAGAATAATTTCTATATATTTATGATTTAAGTTTCATAATTTTTCTTGTATTTTATATTTATTTAATAATCTAATTATATTACCTTCGTTTTGCACATTAATTACATTTCTAAGATATTTTTTCTTTTATTTCTTATTTTAGAGAACAATCAATTCATTTTCAAAATTTATTCAAAAACAAAAAATAAAAAAAGTGATTTAGAAGAGTAGTGCAAGAAGTAAAGACAATAAGGAAACTAAAACATATGAAGTAGAATTTTCTGGGTCATTGTCTATTTCAATACTTTGAATATAAACCTCATCATTTTGAATAGTTAATTTATAATGTTCAGAACCACAATTATAAGAGTCTTCAAAATTAAGAGGGAAGTTAAACTTTTTGAAATTAGTTTTGGTTGGTTCAGTAAATTTAGGTGAGTTTAAGAAGCAAATACCAGTAATTTTAAATGAACCAGTGTCTTGTGAGTCTGTTGGTCCATTGTCATATCCAAAAATACTTGGTCTGAAATTATCGAAATTGATAGTTTCATTAGCATTTTCATAATATAAGTTAATTGAAATATTATAATAATTTAATCTAGAACCACTATCGCCATTATTAGCATACCATCCTCCAAGGAAGAATGAACCAGTAGCAACTTCATCATCAGACTTTTCTTTATATAATAATGTTACAGGTTTTGATAAGAATTTTTCAGTATTAGTATAGATGTTAACACCATGACTAGAAGCAGAAGGAGATACTCTAATTGAAATATCAGTATCATATCCAACAAAATTTGCTCCATCATCTGGAAGAATAGTAAGATAACATGGATTATTATTATTAAAATTAAAAATAATTGGTCCTTCTACAGGGTCGCAATAAATTCTTTGGTGATCCCCTTCATAATCAAATGCACTTGATGGTATTTCAAAAAGATTACGTTCAGTATCAAATTCATATTTAACACTATACTCTGATGGATCTGTTGATTCAGTTGATGTACGTAATCTTTTATCTTTTTGTCCAAGATCAGACTCTTTAAAATAATAAACAGTGTGTTGAGCAAAACACCCAACTAAGAGTAACAATCCAAGAATGAACATATTTTTTATTATTTAAAGAGATAAAGTTAGTTTAAATACTAACCTTCACCTTTAAATTTCGTATGACAAATGAAACTAATAATAAATAAAATTGTTGAATTTTTAAATTAAGAAAATAACAACAACTCTTTTTCAATTATTTATTTTTGGAACAATAAAAATGAAAATTTAACTAAAATTATATTTCGTTCACTCATAATTTTATTTATAAATTTTACTTTAGTATTATTAGAAGAAAGTATTTCATATTTCTATTTTTATATTATGCAAAATTATATTTTTAGAAGACATTACTATTTAAAAATAATTTTTTGTTATTAATAGCATAATTTAAAAATAAAACAAAATTTAAATATTGTTTTTTAATATATCATTTTTGTTTTTAAGAAGTTAAGGTTTTACAGTAATTAGAGGAGTTGAACTAAATAATAGTACTGATAAAACTTAAAATTGGAACGGTAATGAACTTTAAAAAGTTTCTTTTCTCAACTCTAATGAACTGATATTTAAACAAAGAAACTAAAAAAAATATCATTAAATAAACATGGGAGACGAAGAAGTT